TGACCTCCCCCCTCTCTATTTTCTTTATGTAATTAAAACCTAAACATTTGATACGTTTATGAATATCCCTTGACCCAGCAAACTAAAGTCTGCTAAAATGTTTGCAACATTTTCAAACACTGAATGTGTATTCTCGAAAAAAACTAAAAATACGCAATTTCCCTATAAAGGCGCCTGTTGAAAATATTTTTAGGATTCATTTGAGACATATATAACGTTTTAATGACGTATAATTACTGAGTTTGAGCGCAAAGTAGACGTTCAAAATCATCCATTCGATTGGTTACGCTCAAGGGCGTATACAGAAATAAATAGATTTTTTATAATAATCATGAAAAGCAAACTTATTTTTTTTGTGTTCTTCACTCTTCAGTTAAGATTTGAAAAGTGTGAAAGGCTTGCAAAATTCAAGGGGGGGGCTACGCCCCCCCCCTTTACAAGTCTAGGGGGGGGCACTGCCCCCCATGCCCCCCCCCTGTATACGCCCTTGGTTACGCTTTGAGAATCGTTATTTTTTATTATTATATAACATCGACGAAAAATTTATCAAAAATTATACATTAAACTAATTAGATGTTTAGGAACATATTTCTCAATAGAAATTTGTCAATAAATCATTGTTAGAAACAATTATTCCTTTTTCATCATTATATTGAATTTCTTATTCTTTACGAATTAGTTCGCAGATTTCTTCAAATTCTGGAAATGTCGTCTTTTCAATAAAAATTCCAGAAAATGTTTGTGAACAATGAGAGATTACAGAAACTAATACTGAATAAGGTTACTTATTTTTGTTGAAAAGAGTAAATTCTTTTTTCTCAACCTGTTCCTAAACAATTAATTAGTTTACTGTAGAATTTTTGTTACATTCTTTGTCGTCGTTATTTAATAATTTTTTAAAAATCGATTCTCAAAACGTAACCACCCAAATGGATGATTTTGAAAGTCGACTTTGCGCTCAAACTCATAATTAAACATCCTTAAAATGTTTCAAATGAATCCTAAAAAAAATTCTCTACAATACTGCATTCTCAGTTCAACTACCATACATTGCCGGTCACTCCCTTTAACTCATTTCATCTTTATTGTTTTTAGAGTGTAGAGTTTGATTGCTCTCGTCGGAAAATGAAGTTATATGAAATTCCAAATATCTTTTTACAACAATTTCTTCATACTTTTGGCTCATATATTTATTAAAAATGTTGTCCTTGTTATATATTCCGAGGTTCCATCTGTTTCATTACGCGCGTCACATTTTCTCACGGTTGCGTACCTTTCATTGCGTATGTTCGCATCTTTACGCAGCTGCACATTCGTCTTTTATATTTCATAGTGTTTATACATATCCATCCTTGCATAAAGTGACCACTGACTACTGACCAACACATATAAACAGCAGATTTCTAGAAAACAGTGAAACCCATTAAACATAATTCATAAAAAATGAGAAGATTGGATTAGTTGTTCAAAAACGTAACAACTCTTCTAGATGTGAAAATGAAGATTTTTCAAAACTACGCATTTTTCTTAATATTAATCGTTTGTTTGCTTATGTTGATTACTTTTTGCATCTAAATTAATTGGGTTGTTGAGAATTATATTTTTTAAGGGGGGGGGGGTAATGCTAAACTCTTTTCTTAATCTCTTGAGTGGGGGAGGAAAGCTTCTGAATAAAAGTGAATAAATTAGGATAATTTAATTTTATTGTGATTTATTTATATGACTGCTCTGTATAGATAATTAAGAAAACACAAACAAAGATAAAGTAACGATAAAAGAATTTTAAAAAAATCTCTTATTAGTTGAAAATATATTTTTCATATTAACGTATTAAGAAGCTGGTAACAGTATAAGACTTAACAGCGTCTGAATATCCTAAAACTGCTAATGTTTGGACTAGATCTTATTAGAGGTTTAACCTTTTTAATCTCTCAATCGCGATCATATTAAGCATTTTGATTTTTTATTACTATTGTACAAAAAAATAGAAATATAAAAAGTTTACAACAGAAACTATGAAAAAGAGTCCAAAAATGAAGCTGACAACAGTGTAGGATTAACCGCATTCAATAACATCCATTGTTCATACTAATTGCATAATGCATATGTTTGAACTAAATCGTATTAAATCTCTCGATCGCGATCATATTAATCATTTGATTTTTATGCGTTACAAACAAATTGCGAAAATAATTGACAAAAACTAGAAAATGTGTCCGAATTTTTTTGAAAACGATCATTAAACGATCGTTTTTTTCGTTTTCCTATCGTTTTTTGTTTCGTTTTCCGATCATTTTAAAAACAATCGTTTTAAAAACTTTTTTAAAAAACGATAGTTTTTAAAACGATCGGAAAACGAAACAAAAAACGATAGGAAAACGAAAAAAAACTATCGTTTTTCAAAAAAATGAAAACGTTAACATCCCTATATGCACCCAATATTATGTAACTTTTTTATAAATTATACTTTTCCTTTTCTCGACCTTGTTTAAAGCTCATAAAAACGCGTCAGGGTATTTGTTTAAACATTTTCAACATTTGTTTGTTTATGCAACTTCACAACAACACGGGAGACATTTATAATTATATTATTTGTTTACATGTTGGGTATTTAATTCAGCCATTACATAGATGAAATGTTTACAAACTAACCGCGTCAAATTCCCGATCTTTTTGTTTATTTAAAAGTTTTTGTGAACAAATTAATTAAATTAATTAAACCATCTTCTCGTGATTTTGATAAAACATAATTGCAGGATTTTAGCGTGAAATGATAGATAGATATATATATATATATGGATAGATAGATAGATAGATAGATAGATAGATAGATAGATAGATAGATAGATAGATAGATAGATAGATAGATAGATAGATAGATAGATAGATAGATAGATATATGGATAGATAGATAGATAGATAGATAGATGTGGATTCTGATATGACAGATATAGGATAGGATAGACAAAAATTGTCCTTGGATAGGGTGAATTCTAGAGAGGAAAAACAGTTAATCATTTAATCTACATCCTAATAATTTAGTACCATTCAGTGTAATTTAATATTAATAAATAAACACGAGCTTTACAGTTCACGACTCGAGAATGCATTTATGCGAAATTTAAATAGTTCAGCATTTTCTTTCTTTTCGTTTTCAACTTGGATTTCAAATCTTCTTTTAGATTTGCTTTTAAAAAATTACATTTTTAACAGAAAAAAACCTGAAAAATCACTGTATTAGATTCATTATAAAACTGAATTTGCATGCTTTAAAAATAACCTCTTTTCGACAAACTATTAATCGGAAAACAAAATTTTATTTCAATTTATCCATTTTTTCCAAATAGATTATACACTATAAGAGGTTCTTGTTCGCAAAGTCGTGGCAGAAATTTCGTATAAATTTTACCTCGTAGCTCTGGTAAAAAAGGGAATTTTTGAAGATTGTACATTTGAAATTAAAAACATTTTAGTTATTCTTAAATAATTTTTAAAAAAACTATAAATGTCTAAAAACATGGAAGTCTTTAATCGAACGTAAAACGTGAGAGTGAGACAATTTTTTAATCGAAAAAATGGGTTGGATAGAAGTTTTTCTTATTAAATGAAATTGAAATTGTTTGAAACTTTATCTCAGAAATTAGAAGAAGGTCACATTTTGGAAAAAGTAGGAATCATAAAATATTTTATACGAAATAATTAATTATTTGATATAAAAAAATTAATCATTTTGACTTTTCCACTAAGTGTACTTGTTTTTTTTTTCGTGACACCGGTCGTGTACGTGAAGTAAACATTTTTATGGTTTTTACTCGTAACGTAACATGGCTCATTGGAATTTGTTAATTCGCACGGAAACAATCTTGCTAAATAATATTTGGTAAATTCTAACCAAGGGTGATGTAATAGGTGCCATGGTCTTTAATTGTTTTGCGTAAAAACAGATTCATTGATTTCTCACAATGCAGTTATATAATGACAAAGCATAATGGGGGGGGGGGGGGTTAGTGGGGGAAGGTTAATGTTAATTTCTCAATTTTAAAAATTCAAATCATGACGTAAAGATTTCCTTGTTGGTGCTTGTTATAAGTAACTCAATATTACAAAATACTTTTTTTTAAATGTTATACTTCATCTTACAATTTCTTCATATTCCCAAATAAACTATTTAAATGAAAATTAAAGAATTTTTTTTAAAAAAAGGAATTTTATTTTCACCAATAATAAGACAATCATTGATAGAACATTCCTATGATGCTTCTTTGATAATCATTTGATACTCCTTTGATGCTCCTTTGATACTTCTTTAATCCTCCTTTATTACTCCTTTGATACTCCATCTATACTCATTTAATACTCCGTTGATACTTCTTTGATACTCCTTTGATACTCCTTTAATACTCTTTTGATACTCCTTTGCTTCTCCTTTGATACTCCTTTGATACTCTTTTGATACTCCTTTAAAACTCCTTTATTACTCCTTTGTTACTCCTTTAAGAATCATTTGATAATCCTTCGATAATTGATTGATACTTATTTGAAATTCTTTTAGTAATCCTTTGATACACCTTTGAAACCTCTTTAGAATCTTTTGAAACTTCTTTGATAATCATTTGATACCCATTTGATGATTCTTTGATGCTCCTTTGCTACTCCTTTGATACTCATTTGAAAATCATTTGATAATTCTTCGATAATCGATTGATACTTTTCTGAAACTCTTTTGGTAATCCTTTGATACACCTTTGATATATCTTTGATAGAATCCTTTGATAATCCTTTGATAATCCTTTGATAATCCTGTAATAATCATTTGATAATCCTTTAATACATCTTTGATAATCCTTTGATACTCCTTTAATTATCATTTGATAATCCTTCGATAATCGATACTTCCTTCAAACTCTTTTGGTAATCCTTTGATACACCTTTGATAATCTTTGAGATATCATTGATAATCCTTTAACACTCCTTTGACAATCCTTTGAAAAATCCTTTGATAATCCTTTGATAATTTTTGAAACACCTTTAAAACTACTTTGATAATCCTTTGTTAATCCTTTGTAAATCCTTTGATAATCCTTTGATAATTCTTTGGTAATCCTTTGATACTCCTTTAAAACTCCTTTGATAATCCTTTGTTACTCCTTTGATAATCCTTTGATAATTCTTTGATAATCCTTTGATAATCCTTTGATAATCCTTTGATAATCCTTTGATAATCCTTTGATACTTCTTTGATACTGCTTTGATAATCCTTTGATAACCCTTTGATAATCCTTTGATATTCCTTTAATAATTCTTTGATAATCCTTTGATAATCCTTTTATAATTCTTTAATATTCTTTGATAAAACTTTAATAATTCATTAATTCTTTTATAATTCGATAAGACTTTGATATTCCATTCATAAATGAATCTGTACGTATGTTTCCAATCCTACTTGGTGTAGAAAAGAAATGGTTTAATCTATTCAACAATCTTACATTAGCAATCCTTGGTAGCTGTTTATTTGGTACTCACCTATCCATAGTTAAAAATCCTTGGAAGGAAGTTGAATTTAAAAGTAAATTTATCGCAATTACTGCAATTAAGATCAAATATAATAATAAATATGTAAGGTTCAAGATTATGTATTCTAAATGGAATATTCTCCCATAGGTAGATTAGCTTAGCAACAAGCGAAGTTATTGATACTTCTAAACTCATAAACATATATTGAATAACGAACCGAGTACTAATAAGAAAATCTTATTTTCAAAACTCTATGTATTTGAAACCTGAGTCTAAAACTAAAGAATGCGCGAATTTTAAGTTCGAGGTTAAAAGTTCTTTAAAATAATGAATAGCTACTTAAATATTAAACTTTCTCAATTTTAAACTTGAATTTCCCGGGAAAAATCTGAACCAAAAGGATTTAAAGAATTATTACGTAAGTATCGGTATTCGGTAATCAGCTGTTTTTTTAAATTTTAAATTATTTACGTGACAGAAAACAAAACATATTTCCAGTTACACAGTATTTTGGGTTTACGTGCAAACATTAATTAATCTAACACGTGACATTTATTAAATCAAGGTTTCTACTTTTAAATATATCGTAATTAGTTGAATGCCGCTTAGCGCTGAATGATGATAGACAAATAGGGATTGCGGGATTTCAAGATTTTAACCCTGTGTTTAAATTTTAACTCGTCGATTTCGGCGAGTTAAATATTTAACCACAGGGTTAAATATTTAACCTCATGGTTAAAGTTCAGGTTTAAATTAAGTCAGAAGTGGCATTTAACCATGAACTTAAAATTTAAGTCAAAACTTTTCGTTCTTTAGTTTTAGACTCAGATGTTTCATGTTTTAAGCATGAGTTCTTCTATCTTAAATAACCTAAGTTAAAAATATTAAAGGTTTATAAAAATACATTGATAGAACGTTGATATTACTTGTTCGTAATCATATCCTTTGAATTTAATATAGATATACGTAAATATACGTTTAGTTGAAATTCAATCGACGGAAATTTTTTTTGCATTGGTGCGCCAGTTTTTCACAATTTAAATATCCCCATGAGAACTTTTTTACTGCAGACATGATGTATCTTATTTTTATCAAATAATCTTGACAAAAGTTGTGCTTTTTAAATTTTATTAATTTTTTCAGAATAAAATGATTAAAAAATCATTATTCTTTCTTTCAGTTGTTGGTTTTAACATAGTTCTTGGTTGCAACATCGACTTCAGGAATACGAACTAAAATTTGATTATCTTTTTTAGTTAAACAAAGCTACTTAAAACTGCAAATCTTTATTATGAAACAGATTTTTATAATTCGTATTTTATTTAGACGAAGAATCGAAGACAGATTTTTGCAAGGTATTGTAAAAGAATATTACTTTTTATGAAATACTGAAAAGTTTGATTTTCCTTAAAATTGTTGGAATTTTTACATGTATTATTGATAAAAACAGGTTTATTTTTATCCTTTCACACACCGTTCATTTTATTAGTATTTAGCACATACTTTTGTGTAGTGTGAGTTTCTGTTTTTGAGTGCCCAGTGTCCGAATTTAATGAATTTAAGCCGCGTCTTGAATCCTCCAAAAACCGGTTTCAATGGAGCGCCGGCTTAAATCTTGAAAAAAATAATACAAATTTAAGTGAAAACAGCAAAATTTCAGCCTCAGGAAATATAATCGGTATTATGTGGTTTCCGAAAATTGTTATTGGTTCATTATGTTTTTATTTTAGAAGGAGTTAGTCCTCAAGTATTTGGAAGGAAGGTTGCGAGAGAGGAGAATTCTTCAACGCAAACTTCTAGATCTGGGGTAAATCAAAGGTAAACTACACAGCTATAAAGTTTAGTCACAAACCTAGAGTAGGCAGATGAAAGAAAAATTAATGTCGTTAGTATGATAGAAATAGCATCAAATTCAAGTATATAACTTCAGTGTTCATGAGCACAGGATAAAACTGGGGTAAAAGGCAAAATGTAATCAGGAAACTTATTTTTGTAGCTCTAATAGCTCTAATGAGGATTAGATCATTGATAAGAGGCCGAATTTAAAGAATTTGAACCGCGTCGCTGAACCGCCATTAACCGGTACCAATTGAGCACTGGCTCAAATCTAGAAACACTGATTATAATTTAAGTAGAATAAACCATGTCTGAACCGGGTTCAAATTCTTTAAATTCGGCATCAGGTTTATTTTAATGTCGTCTTTCAGTATCATTAATTTCTGTCTTTGAATTATAATTATTATTTCAGAATGTAGTGTAGTATTAGTTTTGTCCGTTTAATTTTACAGGCATTCCTCTTCTTTCTCTACATCATCAATACCTGCTGCAGATTCACATTTTCAAGCTTCAAATAAAAACCCTGCAGCAAACCTAAAACCTCAATCTAATACTAAACTCTCCAATCACTCTAAAACAAGTCCCAAATTTCCACCCAAAAATGTCAGAAACGATCGTCATAAACCCAAACCTCACAAACACCCTAAGGCTGAGAGTAAATCCTATGTTAAACAATCGTCTTCTTCTGCAGAAGAATCAAGATTACAACGTGCAGATTATATATCAGCTCTCCCCAGCCAATATACTAGGTAATTTATTGAAAATTTCCAATTCTATCCTTTTTTCCTTCTTCTTTTTACTGTTCTTCTGATTTATCTTTTCTCTTTCTATTTCATTCTTTCTTGCCTGTACGTAATTCATCCTTTCCCTTACTCTTTCTATTTCATTATAATTCTGTCTAATTCATCCTTTTCTTTGTGATTCATTCTTTCTCTTTCTATTTCATTCTAATTCTGTCTAATTCATCCTTTCTCTTTGTGATTCATCCTTTCTCTTTCTATTTCATTCTAAATCTGTCTAGTTCATGTATTTTCTTTCTATTTCATTCCTTCTCTTTCTAATTCATCATTTCACTTTCTATATTATACTAACTCTGTCTACTTAATCCTTTCTCTTTCTAATTCATCCTTTCCCTGTCAAATGTATATTTTCTCCGTTTAAGTCCTCCTTTCTCTGCCTAAATCATACATTTTTTGTCTGATTCATGCTTTTTCTGTTGAATTTTCTCTTTCTTATTTCTCCTAACTTTATCTAATTCCTTCTTTCATTCAAATTGGTCTTTTCTATTATCTGTTTTAATCATTGTTTTCTATCTTTCTCTGTGTAGTTCCTGTCCCGAACTCTTATTCTTATATTATTTTAATATTTAGAGCGGCGTCACCATCTTTAGCAACAAGAAACCAGTTAGAATTTATTGATAAACCGGTTAAAGAAAAAACTAACCAAGCTAAGCCGCAGTACATATTTGAACCGTACACTCAGCACATCAAACACCTGCAAAAACAACAACGAAAACCATCTGTTGACCAGGAACAGTATCAACAACCCGTAGAGGGGTCTATTGCTCCTTATGAAGAGAAATATGATTATTTTCCACATAATTACGAGGTAAGATTTTATTGTTTATGTACAGTATTTATGGTTTAAAACATCACGGGCAGCCGTAGTACATTTCAATTTCCGAGCCGGGTCAAAGTTTCCGGTCCCAGTTTGTAATGTATCGCCCAGACATTGGTGGAACAAGGTTAACACGGTCAGACTTTAGGTTGAATTTACTTTTACTAAAGGGTCAGAGGGGCGTGACATTTAAAAGACAAAAAAGTAATTCAAACATTTTTGCTCATTAAACTTTTTATTAAAAAAAAGTTTTGCGTATATTTATTTCCCCCCCCCCCCCCCGGGGCCACGAAGATATGCATGAACGGCTTAGTAAATAAAGAGATTAATAAAGTGATAGAATGGAATGGTAGATAATTGCAGAAATAACTAAATAGAATTTTAAAGTTTCCTACGTATTGATTATACGATTACTAGACTTTTAGGGCGCTTCGCGCCCATCTTCTATTTCAATTGTGAACATGTTCTCATCGTAAAAACAAAGAAAAAAAAGTTTCACAGATTTTTAAAAAAAATTTTGCGGATTTTCAAGATTTAAAACATGTTTACAAAAATTTAAACTTTTAAACACCTTTTTATTAAATTTTCATTATTTATAAACCTTCCCTGGGTCATGCGAGATTCCATAAAAAATTTTGGCCCGATCGGTTCAGCCGTTTTGACGGTTATTGGATACAAACAAACAGAAAGACAAATCAAATTTATATATAGATACATTAACGACATCGTTCTAGTCTCTAGTTTAAATCTTTCTGGGGAACTGTACTAAATTTGACTTTCTTTACATTTAAAACTTTAACTATAACTTTTTTATTGAGAAAACAGAAATAAAAGTCTCATAGGCCTAAAAACCACAACCCTCGTTATATTCTTAGTTGTAAAGTATTTAGCGTTTTCTGTTTGCTTTTATGGCAGTTGCATTGCAAAAATACAAAATTTATGTACATTGTACTGTACTGTTTAGACGAGTGTACAGGGGGGTGAGCAATACACCCTGTATGTACCGGATCCATTTGTTCCTGGACACCCTCATGGAAATGGAAATTTTGGCTGGATCCCTGTAGAGTAGGGTTTACTGAATAATTTTTTATTTACAGTTAATGTACAGAGTGCACAGAGTATCCCCCTGAAACATGACAGTTGGTGAATAGTTTAAAAATTGTCTTCTTCCACAATTTGTTAATTTGTTCGATACCAAACAAATTACAAGGCAGTCATATTATAGTAAGATTTATTTCAAAATAAAATAGTTTTGAGTAAAAAAGTTTTTTAAGAAATAAACTGCAAAATCTCTTTAATATCCAATACAGTTTAGGGAAGAAGACATTTAAAACTGCCATGTTTCATCGGACACACTGTTTATCAGGGTAAATTATTTCGAAACCATGATTTTGACAAAAAAAAATTATTGTTACTTTTCAACATGTTTATCAAAATTTCAGGCTATTTCAATAACCATGGGGATATGCTATCTCATTTGAACTACTTCCGTTTGAACTATAGTTCGTTTGAACTACTGCACGTGGTACCACGTGAGTAATTGAAATGAAAAATAGTTCAAACGAGTAAATATATTGCTCATTTGAACTATTTTTTAGTTCATTTGAACTATTTTCATTTGAACTATTAATATTATAAATGAAATAAACAAAAAAATAGTTCAAATTAACATTGAAATAGTTCAAATGGACATAAAAATAGTTCATATGAACAAAAAAATAGTTCAAATGAACACAAAAATAGTTTAAATGAACAAAAAATAGTTCAAATTGACGTAAAAATAGTTCAAATAAAATAGTTCAAATGAAAAAAAAACTTAAAATGAACTTAAAATATAGTTTAAATGAAAAAAAATAGTTCAAATGAAAAAGTTCAAATGACAAAAAAATAGTTCAAATGAAATAGTTCAAATGAATAGTTCAAATGAACAAAAAAATAGTTCAAATGAGAAAAAAATATTTCAAATGAAAATGACAAAAAATAGTTAAAATGAGAAAAAAATAGTTCAAATGGACAAAAAAATAGTTGAAATGAACAAAAAATAGTCACAATGAACAAAAAAGTAATTCAAATGGACGTAAAAATAGTTCAAACAGACAAAAAAATAGTTAAAATGGACATAAAAATAGCTCTAATGAACTCAAAAATAGTTCAAATGCTGTTAATCAGCTGAAATAATTAGGGGAGGGGGCCTCGGGGGGCCCGCAGGCCCGTGGGCTGAGGCAGACGCTGAACTCCAACCTTCGAGTGTGCGAGGTTGGGAAGACTTCACTGCCGCGCTTACTTAAAAGCATGATTAAGGGGGGATGACATTTGTAGATCGAGATTGAATCCTAGCCGCAGCGCTCGGCCCAGAAAGTGTCATAACGTAACCTAACCCGTGGCCGCAGCGCTCGGCCCCCTAGACTGTCCTAGCCGCAGCGCTCGGCCCAGAAAGTGTCATAACGTAACCTAACCCGTGGCCGCAGCGCTCGGCCCCCTAGACTGTCCTAGCCGCAGCGCTCGGCCTAGAAAGTGTCTTAACCTAACCTAACCCTAAATAAATACTAATTTAATTGAAAATTATTGAAAAAGTGGTCATGTCAAAAAGTAAAATCCGCAGTGAAGTCTACCCCACCTCGCACACTCGAAGGTTGGAGTTCAGCGTCTGCTGTGGGAGGAGACAGACAAAGGGGCCGGGTAAAATCACGTAGGGAGTAGGAGTAAATCACATTTAAACTATTTATATGTCTTTAACTATTTTATTTGAAATTTTTGTTTGTTTATTTTTCATTTGAACTATTTTTTTCTCATTTGAACTATTTCATTTTAACTATTTTTTTGTTAATTTAAACTATTTTTATGTTTATTTAAAACATTTCTGTGTAAAATTGTTATCTAATTAAAATTGTTTTTTTGTTCATTTTAACTATTTTTTTTTGTCATTTTCATTTGAAATATTTTTTCCTCATTTGAACTATTTTTTTGTTCATTTAAACTATTTCATTTGAACTATTTTTTTTTCATTTGAACTATTTCATTTGAACTATTTTTTTTCATTTAAACTATATTTTAAGTTCATTTCAACTTTTTTTTCATCTGAACTATTTCATTTGAACTATTTTTATGTTCATTTGAACTACTTTCATGTTAATGTAAACTATTTTTATGTTTATTTGAAACATTTCTGTATAATTGTTATCTAATTAATTGTCTCGAAATTTAATTTAAAAACTGAATTGCGGTGAAAAGTTTTTCAAATGAGCAAGAAATGTGTTGATTTGAACTACTGGATATGACGTCATGTCAGTAGTTCAAATGAACAATAGCTCAAACGAACAATAGTTTAAACGAACAATAGTTCAAACGGGAGTAGTTCAAATGAAAATCCACCACCATGAGCCATTCTGAGAACTTCTTAATTTTTATTCATTTGGCATTTTTTCGCAAATAATATACTGATACCGATATTATACTTGACAAATTATGGCCTGCATTTTTGCCTTTTAAATAACGGAGATATTCTGACTTTTGTCAAATTTCAAATTCCCAAAATTTTGTGCCGCCTATCTAAAATCAACACGTACTTAACACAAACAAAAGTCGATTTTGAATCTTCCCGAAATTCGTATTTCGTTGTCTATTTAGAGTAAACAAATTTCTTCCAATTCAAAAATATTCTGTTTTGATAAAAAGGCAAGATTACAAAAATTTTATTTGAACTTTGCAATGTCTGTCACAAAAATAATTTGTAAACAGTAAATCCAGAAAATCTTGATTAGTTTTATAAACTGAAACTAAATACGTCACTTCAATAGACGGTATAAAATATATTACCCAAAAACCATGTTATATGTTATGATATTTTTGTTTTTGTTTTTATTTGTCATTATTATTTTTTTATATGATTGATATGATTTGATCAGAGTAAATATTATAATTTTAGATTATTGTAATCCATAATATATAATAACAATATAAAGATATATGATTTATATCTTTATTCTTCAATCAGAAAAATTGAAAACAGTGCTTTTTTTACTGCACAAACGAGAAAATAATAGGGAAAATATTCAAGATAAATACGATAATTAAGTCTTGTTTAATAATCCAATAATCTTGTTCAATAATTCAATAATCTTGTTCAATAATTCAATAATCTTGTTCAATAATTCAAAAAAAAAATAGTTTTAAGATTTTAGTGAATATCGTTAATAAAAGTTTATCCCAGTAGAATAGCGGTCTTTATAATATTTCTCCATGTTCTCTCTCTCTTTAATACAAAATAAATATTGGAATATTTATTAAATGATTTTAATAAATTATCATAATTAGAATCAATCAAAGGAATGCAAATCAAGCTAAAAATATCTTCTAACAGTTTTGTAAGCGAAAAGTTAAAAATGAATTGCAGAAAAGCCCCGAACAAATTAGCAAAGCGTGTCTTGGATTTTATGCAAGTTTTTACTAAGAATAAAATGTGCCTTACTTCCTAAATTTTGCTGATTGTAGACAAATAATACTTTAAATTTTATTTTCTCTCTGCCCTTAAGGAAACCCTTTGAACATATGACAAATAGAAATTAATCAATTACGTGGAAACTAGATAACATTTCTGCTGGAGGTTAAAGTTGGGATTTGAAATTGTTCTAATCCAAAGTTGATTCCTGAATCAATTGGTGGCGGCATTCCTCCAAATCCTCCGCTAAATTGTAGGATATTACTACGGTTCTAAATGTCATCTTCAATATGATTTAATTCACAAAAGATGATTTAGGAAGTACCTGCTATAATTAAGAAGGTAAGGATAACTTGGAAGTACAGTTCCTGGATTCTGATAAAACATACTGTACATAATTTCTTTTTTAAGCTGCTCTTGTAATGTAAAACTTTCGATCAATACAAATATTTAAAAAAGTAAAATAATTGCTAATGTTTACATCAGCCTTCTGTGTCTTTACATAGCAAGTAGTGATCTCTGTTTTTGTTTGTGTATGTCCGATCATAACTTGTGAACCCTTCGACCGATTTGTTTTAAACTTTATTTGGGGAACTCGAGGTAGACCCACGGAAATGTTCTTTACTTGGTTTAAAAATTCTTAATTGAGTTTGTCGACTTTTATAGAGAAAGTTTGCTTTGCAGGCAAAGCTAGTGTTAAAAAAAAACTAAAAGACATCTTTTACAAAAAAAAAATCAAATATTGTTTCAAAATTAGACAAAAAGAAATTTCCTGAGCCCATAAATATCCATTGGAGGGGGATATACCATAGATCCTCCCACATTTCCTACATCCTGCAAATTAATTATTTAATTAAAAGTTCGAAGAAAAATAAAACAATTTTAAAAGTTAATTAAAGGTTTATGACAAAATAGACGGTTTCAGATCTTGGATTTTAATATATTTTAATGTTGAACATTCATTACTATGTTCTGTACGTACAATTTATGTTATTCTACAGCGCACAGCAGTGTACGAGTACGGTATGTCACATGAATTGTACATTGTTCGTTTTATAATGTACTATGTGAACCTGAAAGCTATTCCATCAAGCTGTTCAGAGATTTTATTTTTGGACCTTTACGATGTCTTTAATGTAATACTTTACTAGGACATGTTCGTAAATGTATGTTACTCTACTGCGTACAGTAATGTACGGCATATGTCACTTGACCGGCAGATAGAATTGTAATATTTTACTTTAGCTGTACAGTGTACCTAATTTATTACTGTACCTGTAGCGTGTACACTGTATATTACTGTACCTGTACCGTGTACACTATATATTACTGTACCTGTACCGTGTACACTATATATTACTGTACCTGTACCGTGTACACTATATATTACTGTACCTGTACCGTGCACACTAAATATTACTGTACCTGTACCGTGTACACTATATACTACTGTACCTGTACCGTGTACACTATATATTACTGTACCTGTACAACATATCTTCTGAAGGGATCATAAAAAGGTTGAGGAAGAGATGGTGCTCTCTTAATTGAACCAGCTTGGACAGGTTCAGGAGTTCTACTTCTAAATATAAGACGACATGTTTATCAAATCAACAAGACGACATTTGTCTCTTTCAAACAAAAATAGTTAAAAATGGCGTACCTTTTTTTAGAGATAGACTCACCGGGTGGTATCACATCTCTCTCAACCTCATCGTCCTGCCCAATGTATTATTTCAAATGTTTAATTTTTTGAGAGAATGATTGTTAAAAACTCCAAAATACATGTTAAGGAATTGTAATTACCTTATATAGTACAGGAGCTTGTTCAGTGTAAACAGAGGGACCCACACCTTGCTGCGAGAACGATATTTGAATAGAAATGTTCTAGTCTTTCTGATTATAAGTAGGATTGGGTAAGTTCTGGCTTGTTTCAACCAGTTTGTTAACGGTTAGCTAAAATCGTTCAAACACCTTTTCTGATATCCATTCATTCATAGAAAAGAACTGAACGGAACGTTTCCTTTCGTTTTAAAGGGAGTGTTAGCCAGAAATGAAAGGGGGTATATATGCGCATGCTGATATCGAATTTAATTCGATTTTGATAGCTACTAATTTACTTCTAGTAAGTGGTAAGTAACTAAGTAAGTAATTATTTATTTATGAAATATAACAAAAACATACAAAATTAAGTGTTTCAGGAGAAAATATTTGAAAACCTCCAAAAACAGAGGTTCTGGGAATATTTTCCCCCAAATTCTAAGAAAAGGAAAAGGAAAGGAAAGGAAATGGAACGTTACATATTTTTTGTTTACATTACATTAAATATAAGTGGTGGTGGATTGTTAGTATTTTTAGACGATGAACTAACAACTTTAAGAAATAAAAATTATAGATTTGTGATGTTAAAAAAATATAGAATAGACTTTATGGGTTGTGGAAAAGGTATAGGTTTTACGCAAAACGGGCTTTTTTTAGCATCTTTTTAATTCGCGCCGATTTTTGACATCCTTTACGTTTGATTATATCTTATACATTTTCAATCTTTTTAGTCTTTTCTTTCTAAAATCGTCTTTGCTTTCTTCGATTCTTGTGTTAAAATTAATACTTTTTTCTACTGATAAAAATCTTCAATTGAATTCTGTTTAAGATTAGAAATATCTATCTGTTGTGTCAATATATGAGGAGAACATATTTTTAAATGTCTAACATCCAAGAGCGTAGCGTCCATACAAATTCACTTATGTTACATTTTTCTACTCCGATTGTAAATAATTCAAGAACATTTAAAACTATTCATTCAGATTGCATTCGACAATTGTAGGTTGTATTGTATAAATGAGTAGTTTTAAATTTAATTGAATTATTTACAATCTGAGTGGAAAATGCAACTACGTGAGTTTTATGGAAGTTTAGTAGGAATCGATATCAAATTCTATTAATAGATGTCAACCTATACCCCTTTTAATTTTTCGCGAACACTCCCTTTAAAATTACCATTCGTTAACGATCTCAATCTTATCAACGACGTTAACAAAAGATATTTTAGATACTGTTAACGGTCATTTCATGCAAAAATTGCTGGGGGAAATTAAAAGACAACATTAAAAAAAATCAAAAAACTTTTTTTTTAAGTTAATCTTTTATTTTCTATAAGTTTGATGCAATTTTAAGCAGAAACATTAACGAAAGTCGCCGTTATTGATAGACACGTCCGTTCGTTCTTATTTTCTTCATGAACGGTTGTTTCCTTTTGTTATCGATTTTTCGTTAACTTGCCCAGTCCTAAAAAATTATTATAAGTTTCATATAATTAAAAGTTTACCTTGTAGTATTGGGTAGGGTAGTGAGGAAGAAAATAGTAGGGGAGCTGGGGACTTGGTTGAACACCAACAGGGGTAATCAGAGTATTCTGGTAATGATGATAATAAATAATAATAATACTACAATGTATTACAGGAATTATATTGAAAACCCCGGACGTTAATGTGACGTGAGTGGAAAAGAGCTTTTAAAAAGCTCTATTTTAGTTATTTGTTTATATATATCAATATTTTCCTGAGGTCTGCTTTGTATTCCCAAGCTTTGTTTCAGCTCATTCCTAAAATATTATTCAGACTTTGAATGTCGTCTTCCTCAAAAATCTTCTTGCAATCGCAATTATTTTACCTGTGTTTAAATCTAACCATGGTTAAAAATGTCTGTCGTATTTATTAAGTTTACGATGGTTAGAATCTGATTTTAAGAATATCTTAAGTTTCTTTCTCAGAAAACTCATTATTACAAGCCAATCCAACATTTACATAAAAAAATATAGTCATTTATCAAAATAAAATAAAATCTTTTAAACAAAAATACCCTTGGCCCTATTAAAGAATTATAAAATTTTCTTTTAAAAGCATTTTTTTGAAGCTCGAAAATCTACTTTTTACAAAAGTAAAATGGATGTTTGTATAGATTATACACAATTACAGTGCTGCATGTTTATTGGACTATCTAAAATCATAAATTGAGTCTGAAAGTCGTCTTCCTCTTTGGCATTTTTATGAATCCCACTTGCTTCACAGACGACTGTATGGAAATCACTAAGTCTTATTTTTACATTCTTGGTTTCCATTAACTGTAAAATTGTTTCTATCGGAGTTAAATCGTTTTTTTTATGTGATTTAACGTCTTTGTATTAGAAGGCAACCTTTAGCTCGTTATATTTAAACTTGTCTTTAACGTCTTTGTATAAGAAGGCCACCTTTAGCTCCCTATATTTAAACTTGTCTTTAACGTCTTTGTATAAGAAGGCCACCTTTAGCTCGTTATATTTAAACTTGTCTTTAACGTCTTTGTATAAGAAGGCCACCTTTAGCTCGCTATATTTAAACTTGTCTATAACGTCTTTGTATAAGAAGGCCACCTTTAGCTCGCTATATTCAAACTTGTCTTTAACGTCTTTGTATAAGAAGGCCACCTTTAGCTCGCTATATTTAAACTTGTCTTTAACGTCTTTGGATAAGAAGGCAGCCTTTAGCTCGTTATATTTAAACTTGTCTTTAAAGTCTTAGTATAAGAAGGCCACCTTTAGCTCGTTACATTTAAACTTGTCTTTAACGTTTCATCCTTCGTGGGAATGTGGTAAACCCTTTACTGTACCTGAGTCTAAGATTATTTTTTCCATTAGTTTTGACAAGATTTTTGAGATGATCTGGTGGATGGTAGAATTTACAGTTTGTCCAGGCACACGTTCGGAATACGTCCTCAAAACAACAGACAACTATCTCACTAAAATATAATCAAAAAATATTTTAAAAATGTGCCTATATCAATCTCCCGGTAAAATTTTCACTCTCTTGAAAAATGTAAACACAACGATGAATATAAAAAAATCAATGTTAGTTTGATTTAAATTTTTCAATAATTTTCGAAGAAATAAATTTTATGTAGAAATATGAATTACGATGCTTTTTATTTTCACGTTTATCGTAAATTAAAATGATATGAACATTATAATTAAAACCCACGAGGATAAAGAGATTTATTAGGGTGACATCAGAATTAAAATATAAAGACAATTCATGCTAGTCTGAATTAATTTAAGGTACCTAGGAATTATATTGTTCATATCATAACTTTGTTGAAATGTACTTGTTTAGTTCTGAGTTAAAAATGAGCTTAGTTCTGAGTTAAGAATGAGTTTAAATATATACTTGTTTAGTTCTGAGTTAAGAATAAGTTTAGTCCTGAGTTAAGAATGAGTTTAGTTCTGAGTTACGAATGAATTTGAATATATACTTGTTTAGTCCTGAGTTAAGAATAGGTTTAAGTATATACTTGTTTAGTTCTGAGTTAAGAATAAGTTTAGTCCTGAGTTAAGAATAGGTTTAATGTTTAGTTCTGAGTTAAGAATAAGTTTAGTCCTGAGTTAAGAATAGGTTTAAATATATACTTGTTTAGTTCTGAGTTAAGAATAAGTTTAGTCCTGAGTTAAGAATAGGTTTAAATATATACTTGTTTAGTTCTGAGTTAAGAATAAGTTTAGTTCTGAGTTAAGAATGAATTTGAAGATATACTTGTTGAGGCCTGAGTTAAGAATAAGTAGGTTTCTGTTCTCTGGGGGAGGATGAGCATAGATACATAGTTCAGCTCTAGCATCAGCTCCACATACACCTAGATACATAGATTCATACATACATAGATACATAGATACATGGATACATAAATACATAGATATATTTAGATACATAGATACAAAGTTACATAGATACATAGATACATAGGTACATAGATATATAGGTACATAGGTTCATAGATACATAGGTAAATAGATACATAGATACATAGATACATAGTTACATTTGTTCATAGATGCATAGGTTCATAGAGACATAGGTACATAGATACATATGTACATAGATACATAGATAAAGGGGTACATAGATACATAGAGACCCCCAGGTCCTTCCCCTAAACGCAAGATGATATCATAAAGTTGCGATATTTTAGCAGGAAGATAAAACAAGATCAGGTGTGGCCGATGTTCTCCTGTAACAATGTTTTTCTGAACAACATTTTCATTTGTACTTTCTCCGACCAACATGAAATTAAAGTAAAAAGTGTTCTCTAAGTAGTAAAAATGTTTTAATCTAATACAGTGAGAACCCAAAAAAACGAAATTCTCGTCATATTGTTTTTGTAATGTTGCTAAGAATGGTTTAATTTGCATCTGAACTATTTCTAGAATACTGCTCGACGAATCATTTGCAAATTACTAAGCTCAACGACATTTTTATTGAAAAGGATAAACAAAAACGACATTCATTCCATTAATTTCTGGTTCTGACTGTACATTGTACATTGTATTATCTACTGTAGTTTAATAGACGAGTTGATTTCCTATATTTAAGAATTCTAAGTTTCTGAATGTTTACCTGTTTACCTGTTTACCTGTTTACCTGTTAACCTGTTAACCTGTTTACCTGTTTACCTGTTTACCTGTTTACCTGTTTACCTGTTTACCTGTTTACCTTTTACCTGTTTACCTGTTTACCTGTTTACCTGTTTACCTGTTTACCTGTTTACCTGTTTACCTGTTTACCTGTTTTCCTGAACTCCGGGCAAACATGAAGTTGAAGCCAACCATTGTCACGCCTTTACATTTGTCGAGTTTAATTAATGTATATTGAAATTATACATTTGCTCTAAACATGACGATTCAGAGATGAATAAAACACCGTTTTCGAGCTTTGATCCCTACCCTATCTAATGACAAATCTGAATCTTTAGACTTACTAAAGATAATGCACATTTACAAAGTTACAAACAATTAAGTCACACCACATAAAGTAAGTTACGACTAGGGTTTAAACATGAATAAATTGATGTTAGAGACACAATGTTTACTGCAAATAAAAGAAAGATCATGGGTGTTGAGCGTCTATAAAGTTCAATTTAGCAATTTGATATAAAAAAACATTAAGGGTTAATGAAACTTGGTTTAAAGCATTGAAATGAAACAATGCAGCGAGTTGAAAATACTTGATAATTATGTCGAAACCTTAATAGATTCCATAGCAGCAACTTAATATAATGTATTCAAACATCAAACTTTTGAAGACGACATTTCAAGCAAGCTTTTCTCTCTGTTACCTGTCCACAGTTAGCTTAACCTTCTCAATTAATTCCACAGACTGGTTCAGGTCATTATTCAACATTTTTACTGTTTTAAATGGAAAATATTTTTAGTTTTTAAAATATTTTCTTTTCTTGAATAGAATCTTACAATCTGAAATTGTCATGACACGACAGCATTTACATTTTTTTTTAAATAGGAAATTTCCCAAAAACCTAGGCATTTGGGAAATTTCCTAGATACCCAGGCATTTGGGAAATTTCCCAGATACCCAGGCATTTGGGAAATTTCCCAGATACCCAGGCATTTGGGAAATTCCCCAAATTCCTGTAGGTATTTGAGGGTGGTATATTTTTAAGATTTTGGAAATTTCTCAAATGACTGGATATTTGGGAAATTTCCCAGATACCCAGGCATTTGAGAAATTTCCCAGATACCCAGGTATTTGGGAAATTTCCCAGATACCCAGGCATTTGGGAAATTTCCCAGCTACCCAGGCATTTGGGAAATTTCCA